TCTGGACAGCAGTCCGAGCTCGGATGCTCTGACCAGCCACTCCCCCGGGAAAATTTGAATTCCTTTTCCTGTCTGGGCAGTTTGAAGCGCAGTTTCTGTTTGGACACCGTGGTGAGCTCAGCAGCAGTGGCAACGATGCAGAGCTCTCCAGCAGAGATGGCCGTGCAATCCAATAGAAAGAGGGCCCCAGCATGGACGGATCGGGAAGTCTTGGATCTCATCGCAGTGTGGGGCGATGAGTCCGTGCTTTCGGAGCTGCGCTCCAAAAGACGGAATGCAAAGATCTATGAGAAGATCTCTAAAGCCATGGCAGAGAGAGGCTACAGCCGGGATGCAACGCAGTGCCGCGTGAAAATCAAGGAGCTGAGACAAGGCTACCAGAAGACCAAAGAGGCAAACGGACGCTCTGGATCCCAGCCCCACACATCCCGTTTCTACGAGGCACTGCATTCCATCCTAGGTGCGGCCGCCACCACTACCCCACCAGTGACCGTGGACTCTGAGGATGGGATATTGTCCGCGACCGGTTCCTCAGCGGACGGGGAAGAGGAGGAAGGAGATGAGGAGGACGAGGCAGTAGACAGCGCTTACAACGCTGATTTGCCCGACAGCCAGGAGCTCTTCATCACCCTGACAGAGATCCCCTACCAACCCTCCCCAGCCGTTACCCCAGACACAGATTCAGGGGAAGGATCAAGCTGTAAGTGTTTTAAATATCTAAATATTTATTTACAACATAACTGGCGTATTTAAAATATTAACATTAGCTAAAGTGCTTTAAAACATGTAAACATTTATTTGCAACAAAACAGGAAGATTGAAAATATGAACAGTGGGTAAAGTGCTTCAAAACATGTAAACAGGAAAGTCAAACAAAAGGGGAATCAGTGCAAAGTGTATCATGATTTGTCTTTTTTTGGGCGCCTCAATATATAGTCCGAACCATTTTCAAAAAATTGCACAATGTCCGCTTCATGATTATAGTGCCCAAAACCCTGCAGTCATTTGTCCCTCCAAGGGCACCTAAGCCAGGAACTGGTCAATGTAACCGGGGATAGAGGCGAGATCCTCCGGGGAGAACTCCTCATACACCTCCTGCAGGTGTTTTTCCAGCCTCATCAGCAGGTTCCTGGGCAGGGAGAGCTTATTAGGCCCCCCGTGGTAGGACACGTTTCCCTGCCACAACGCCAGCAGGTACTCCGGGATCATGGCCTTGCACAGCAGTGCAGCAAATGGCCCCGGTTTCTGCAGGCTGTCCCGTAGCATCTTCTCCTTCTGGCTCTCGGAGACCTTCAGGAGGGTGATGTCAGGCATGACTCCCTGCTGTGAATTAGGTAGGGGAAAGTTAGTATTGGGACTGCTTGCTCGTCCCTTTACAGAACTGCAACCGCCGGTTTACAGCCACGCGGTTTACAGCCGCGAGGGGGTGGGACAGGGCCAGAGTTCATGCTTGCAGGATTGCTGCCAGCAGAGACTCGCATTGCTTTCTATGTGAAAGGAGGCCAGTGCCACTCTTAAAGTTTTAAGCGGCCACAAGTCTACGGCTTACCATGTTTGCCATCTAGACAAAGTCCGGTGTCCTGCCCTGCTCCTCAGCTCGCCACAGCAAGACCGCAGGCACTGTAGGCGAGGGCCGAAAATTCGACCTTGTCCTCAGTGCGCGTGTGATAGGTGCTCTGCATGGTCTTGTTCACGGAGCAAGACTATGTTCTCTGTTCACAGATACATTGCTCTGTCTCAGGAATTCACTCCCTTTTTCCAATTCCCACAGCCACATCTGCCCAGAGGCTAGCGCACATTAGGAGGAGGAAGAAGAGGACACGGGAAGACATGTTTGCTGAACTAATGGAATGCTCCCGAGCACAGGCAGCCCAGCAGACACAGTGGAGGGAGAACTTGTCCCAAATGCACCGGGCAAACATGGAACGGGAGGAGAGGTGGCGACAGGAGGACAGGCAGGCTACTCAAACGCTGCTTGGACTAATGAGGGAGCAAACGGACACGCTCCGCCGCCTTGTGGATGTTCTGCAGGACCGGAGGCAGGAGGACAGAGCCCCGCTGCAGTCTCTCTGTAACTGCCCTGCCCCGCCACCAAGTCCCATACCCCCCTCACCCAAAGTCCAAACACGGAGGGGTGGAAGGGGCCGTGAAAAATTTCACTCCACCCCTGCGGACTGCTCTACCACTAGAAGGCTCTCATTCCCCAAAATTTGAAAAGTCCTTTCCTACCCGCCTCACACAAGACCCCGTCCAAGTTTCACCCCCCCGTTCCATGTGCGGTTGTTAATAAAGAATACGTTTCTGTTCATTTCTGTTTCCATCCTCTTCTTTTGGAGGGGAGTCTGTCTGAAGGGGGGGGAAGGGGCTTGGTCATTGGACAGGACAGTCACCTTTAGCAGGGGGCAGGTGCAGCAGCAGGGCACATATACAGTGCAGTGACTAGTTATCCTGGTTAGTCTGGGAGGTGGTTTTCATGTTTTGTGTGGTGGGGGCGGTGGTGTTGCTCTCTGACTTGGTGGCGGGGGAGGGCAGTTACAGATCTTATGCAGCGGTCCTTACCCTGCATCACAGAGCCGCGCAGCAGGGGATCTGTAACCCTCCTCCCCCTGCAAGACAGTCACATAGCCGACATATACACGCAGTCCCGGCCAGGAGGGCTGGCAGGCTCCGTTGAAACAACCAGTCCACCACCGCGGAGCCTGTCATTCCTGGAGTTTAGAAGCATCATTTGCATCACAACCCTAAACCCGCCCCCCGCCACAGTCTGCGTCCCAGGTTTAAAACATTCCCGCGAAAACAGTAATAAAGACAACGGTGTCCATGAACAAAACAGAACAGATTTTATTTTTTGGGAAGGGGGCGAAGGGGGTATGTAAGTGGAGAGGATAGTCGACGGCAACTGGGTAAAGAAACGGGGGCAAGTTCTGCCTCTGTGTCCACAAACTTAAAAGTCACTGGGTACCCTGCTCAGCCTTGAAACTGGCTTTCAAAGCCTCCCGGATGCACAGCGCGTCCCGCTGGGCTCTTCTAATCGCCCGGCTGTCTGGCTGGGCGTAATCAGCAGCCAGGCTATTTGCCTCAACCTCCCACCCCGCCATAAAGGTCTCCCCCTTGCTCTCACACAGATTGTGGAGCACACAGCAAGCTGCAATAACGATGGGGATATTGGTTTCGCTGAGATCACAGCGAGTGAGTAAGCTTCTCCATCTCCCTTTGAGACGGCCAAAAGCACACTCCACCACCATTCTGCACTTGCTCAGCCGGTAGTTGAAGAGTTCTTTTTCTGTGTCCAGGGCGCCAGTATAGGGCTTCATGAGCCAGGGCATTAGCGGGTAGGCTGGGTCCCCGAGGATCACTGTAGGCATCTCCACATCCCCAACAGTTATCTTGTGGTCCGGGAAGTAAATACCTTCCTGCAGCCGTCTAAACAGACCAGAGTTCCTGAACACGCGAGCGTCATGAACCTTGCCCGGCCATCCGACGTAGATGTTTGTAAACCGTCCCCGATGGTCCACCAGTGCTTGCAGCACCATTGAAAAGTAGCCCTTTCTATTGATGTACTGGCTGGCCTGGTGGCCCGGTCCCAGGATAGGGATGTGAGTCCCATCTATAGCCCCACCGCAGTTTGGGAATCCCATCGCGGCGAAGCCATCTATGATGGCCTGCGCGTTTCCCAGAGTCACTACCTTTGACAGCAGTACCTTGACGATTGCCTTGGCTACTTGCATGACAACAACCCCCACGGTAGATTTGCCCACGCCAAAGTGGTTCGCGACTGACCGGTAGCTGTCCGGCGTTGCAAGCTTCCAGAGGGCTATGGCCACTCGCTTCTGGACAGTCAGGGCTGCTCGCATGCGGGTGTCCTTGCGCTTCAGGGCAGGGGACAGCAAGTCACAAAGTTCCAGGAAAGTCCCCTTCCGCATGCGAAAGTTTCGCAGCCACTGGGATTCATCCCAGACCTGAAGCACTATGCGGTCCCACCAGTCCGTGCTTGTTTCCCGGGCCCAGAATCGCCGTTCAACAAAATCCACATGCCCCATTGCCACCGTGATGTCCTGGGCGCTGGGGCTCGTGGTTTCTGACAGCTCTGTGCTACTCTCCGACTTCAGGCCCTCACGGCGGTGCCGTAGCCTCCTCGCCTGATTTCTCTGCATCTGCCTGTGGGAAAGGTGTATGATAAGGTGCGAGGCGTTGAGAACGGCCACAACTGCAGCGATGGTCGCAGCGGGATCCATGATCGCAGTGCTGTGGCGTCCGCGCTGTCACTGATCAAAAAGTGCGCGAACTGATTTCCCGCCGGCGCTTTCAGGGAGGGAGGCAGGGCGGTAGTGACTGACGGATGACGACAGTTACCCAAAAGCACCCTCGCCACATTTTTTTACCCAGAAGGCATTGGGGGCTCGACCCAGAATTCCAATGGGCAGCGGGGACTGCGGGAACTGTGGGATAGCTGCCCACAGTGCACTGCTTCCAATGTCGACGCTTTCCCTGGTAGTGTGGACTGACAAAGTCGAATTACTGTCCTTAGTGTAGACACACACGTTCGACTTTCTAATATCGATTGCACATATTCGATTTAACTAAAATCGAACTACTCTCGTAGTGTAGACATACCCTGTGACTCAGGTACTGTGGAAAGATCGGATTACTGTTTTTTCAGAGCAGAACAGCCTTATAACTAAACCCACAAGGATGCCGGAAGAGCAGATTGTAGTAGCACCCATTGTAAATGACCTTCAGATAGAGTGGCCGGTTAACACCTCTACAGTCCTAGGACAAAAAGTGGGGGTTAATGGATTGCAGATTGTTATAGTAGACCATAAATGCAGTGTCTCTGTTGAAGTGATTGTTTTATTTTCACTCCTGGCTCTGCAGCAGTAGTAGTTACTCAGCCCCTGATTCTGCTTTCTTTTGAACTAATTTTCCACTGGTGTAACTTCAGACTGGTAACTCCAGAAGACAATAAACCGTACAAGAGCTGCTTGTTTTTTCTCTTGCAGTAGCATGGTTGATTTCATGGTGTTACGTCCTAGCTGGGCCCCCAGGAGAGAAGATGACTGCTGCTGCAGGATCCTGCATTGTGCTCCCTGGACTGGATCAGTTGCAGGGTGTTGGCCTCATCCAATGGAAATTTTCTGAGCAGTACCTTGTGACTTATCATGTCAATAACTCCAGTCTTCCTGACATTGTGGACCAAGACAGATTTCTTTTCCAGAAGTCAAATGGATCTCTCCAGATCTGTGGATTAAAAGTGAATGACAGTGGGATCTATACCCTAATAATAAACATGAAGAAGCAAAATGACAGATCCATCCAACTAGAAGTTGTTGGTAAGTCAGAGAAAATGATAATAAAATGGCACTTCTATTATTGGTCTCATCTGAACTCTATTTTAGTGTGTATAGACAGTACCTTTCAGAATCAGTGCCCTGCAAGAACTCGGCCTCTTGTTAGTGCTCTACTTCAGTACTGGCTAGACTGAAAAACATTCCTGGCAGAATATTGTTGTCTCTTGAAATTCACTGAGGAATGGTACCATAAAGCTGCAGTTACTTTAGGAGTTTTCACTTGCACCAGCAGTAGAACAGCTTCCCTTTTAAAAAAAAGTTAAAATTGTTCAATTTTCTAAAAGTTTGACGTTCAGCGGGATTCTCCATTTGACTTTCAGTGAGACCAAGGATGTGTCTACCCTACAGTCGGGGTGTGTGACTGCAGCATGTGTAGATCTACAATAGCTAGCTCAGATACTGCTAGCAGTGAAGCTGACTTCAGCGTGGGTTATACAAACCTACTTGGGTAACTACTCAGGTGGCTTGCCTGCACTGAAGCCCATGCTGCTATAGTTTCCCTGCTATCAGTAGGTTACATCTACATGTGCTGCAGTTTTACACCCAATTGCAGTGTAGACATACCCTTAGAATTGCCAAATCACTTAGGCACTTTTAAGATTTTTACCCAAAATCTTAATTGTAAAACTCATGCTGATCCTAATCCAAATCCCACTGTAGTTAATGGTAAGACATCCATTGATTTAAAGGGGGAAGCGAATGAAGTCTTATCAGCAGGGCAGTGAAATAATTGCTTCTTTTCATCTAGAGCCCGTGTCCCAGCCGGAACTCTGGATCAACTTGTCCTTGATCGGCCTTACCACTGAGCTGGTGTGCAACACCTCAGTTGAGAAAGTGGCTAAATATCAGTGGAAGAAGGATGGGAAGCCCCTCCCTATAGAAAGCCATTACCAGCTCTCTCAGAATAACAGTGTGTTACTTATATTAAACACCACCTGGTCTGACAAAGGCTCCTATAGTTGTAATGTCAGCAATGAGGTCAGCTGGCATGAAATTTCCCTGGAGCTGTCCATTCAACGTAAGTTCCTGTCTCATTGTTGCATTTTTAGTATGTTCTGTCTGTCTTTTAGGATTTATTTAATGTATCTTGCACTATTTACAGTGGAACAAATGGATTTCACCATCAACAAGTCAAGTAGATTAGATTAGAACTACCATGACATGAATTACATTCCCAGGCAGACCTGTGCCATTTGCTTTCATAGTTGTACCATTAAGGACAAAATGATTATGTAAGTATAACCCTCTTGTTGCTGCCACTGGCACCTAGAATGGCTAGGTTCAGTCTAGCTTCTAAAATAAATAAAACCATGGCTCAAGCCCCTAGCCAGGGCTGGATTCCTACTTCCAGCAATAGGACACTAAAGTGTAACCTCCCTGGTCACCTTTGCAGTTGGCTCTTCCCTACTTGCAATAGAGTCCTGTGATATATGGAACCACCTCACTCATGGTCCAAATTATACACCCGAAGGGGTGGGGGTGCTTTCCTCTCTGGACTGGAGAAGACGGGTGGTGGTAAATGTTTAGGAATGTTCTTAAGGCTGCTAAGTTGTTACGACTGCTCAGTGCTGCTGTTCTTGGAGCTCCACCAGCAGAGGACGCAGCTTGCTGATTCAGCAGACCTCAGTGTTGTTCATAAGAAAGACCACAGGCTTGGTTCAGTGACAAAGGCGCTCAGTCAGGTTCACAGTGCCCCATAGGAGCTACAGGTAAACTAACACCATATATGCCCCCGACAATGGTACCCACTCAGTCAGCTCACCAGGATGCTGTCTCTTTGGCTGGGCAAAGATGCCCCTCCTATGACTTCTCCTTTTATACAGTGATACAAACAAGTTATGTATTATACTCCAGATGGTGTTAGTTAACACCCTTATCCTTGTACCCACTAGTGTGAACAAAACATCCCTTATGCTGTTATCCCCGCCTTACCGTATAAGGGATCGGTGTATTCTTGTACCATCTCTTAGGAATGTGTTTACATAGTTACTTGAGAGATCTGTGGGTTTTTTGGTACCATCCTCTGCACTCAGGAATATGCTTGCTTGGTGTTAACTAATACCGAGCATGGTAATGTTTTGCCAAGGCGAGGCCTGCTCTGGTTCATGGTGCTAGTTATGCCGAGGGCTCCAGCAAGGCCTACAACAGGCAGAAGTCAGCACCGCAGGTTCTACTGAGATTTGCAGCTATATGGTTCTGTTGTGTGTGACAGGCCTGTGTCTGGTCAGGCCTGTGCTGCTGCTGCAAGTCCAGCCTACTCCAAGACTGCAGAATTCCCAGGTGAGGAATCCAGAATAACAAAACCCGTGGTCGGAGTCCTTGCTCCCTGGGATAGAGCTCCTGCTGTCTAGGACAGAGCCCTCTCCCTTCTCCTTGGTGAACTTGAATCCCATTCCCAAATCGGAGTCTACTCTCTGTAAATTCATGATGACCCACTTACTCCAGGGAATATTATGTGCAATTCTTAAGCCCTTTCCTGAGTACAGTCAAGCAACAATCTATTATCACTTATACCATCAGAACATACAGATACAATTAAATGTAAATAAGACTGGCCAATGCTGGTTTTTCCTGTATAGAGGGAGCAGAGAGTTCTCTCTCTGCCTCTCTGCTCTGGGGTTGACATATGGAAAAGCTGATTTCTCCCCCTTCCCCCCCTTTTAACCAAAACTTTACTGGGGATATTGTGAGACAGTTACAAGTCCCATATTAGACATTGCAACTTTGTATTTACAAAACTGTAAATTAGGAGAAAAACACTGCCTCTCTCATATAGTCATCCCCATATACTTCCTCTCTCCTATAACCATTCCAGTTTTTTCAGTCCTTCCCTCCCCTGGATTACTGTGTTCTAGTAATCCTATCTCAAAACAGCTATGGCTGAATGAGGGGGCTCAGAGAGGTTTATAAAAACTGTTGCTGCAGCTTTAATTGCTGTGCAGTTAGGCGCTGCCCCCTGTAGTGGCATGAAATTTTCAGTATTGTTTTCTATCCCATTCCTTACCCATAGTGAGAGTTTGTTTGCTCTTCTGCCTTGACAGCGAGCAGAGATTCTCATTGAGCTTCTCTTTGATACATCTGTCTGAGCCTCTTTTCAATGTTCTGAATGCCACAAATGATGGGGTGAGAGGATACTTAGGTTATAACCTCTTTGGGACAGGGCCTGTCTTTCTCTTCTGTGTTTGAATAGTGCCTAGCACTACTGCAATATAAATAATAAGGATAATTCTTTGGTCCCACTCCTGAAAACACTTGTGAGTAGTTACTTGTGTTCGCTGACCCACTTGAATTTGATGGTATGTTGTATCATGTAAGTATCACTCACCTGATTTGAGCATTTGCAGAATCAGACCTATGAACTTAACATTTATTTTCCTTCTCCTTCTGGTACTTATGCCCACTTAAATCTTGAGTCCTGTAATGCCCTGGCATGCACTCTGCTGGCGATGTCCCACTGATTCTGAAACCCCATTGCATGCCTAGGCTGGCCTAGAGTGATAGTGCAAGTTCCATTTAAAAATATTTCATGGGTTTCTAAAGTAATAAAAATAAGAGTATTTTAAATAGCGATCTGTTCCATAGTGTAGAAAGAGTGCCTGTCTTATCTCTGTAGCTCCACTCCATCCTCCTGTGAGATTCAGTGGTAGTTATGACTTCATCACAGAGCGCATTGAAATATTATATGAAGGAGGCACCAGAAAGTCTAGAGAAAAAGAGCGATCTTGTAGGTGAAGCCAGGTGAATAGTGAGCAAAGTTGTTCATAAACATTTTCATGAATTCAGAATAGCTTTTTTGTTTATCCAGGTTCATGCTCCTTTTTTGCCTATCCATAAAAATGCACATGGATAGGTGTTGAGTCACATGGGAGGGGGGAGGAGAGACTTTTAAAGGTCCACAAGGCAGTGTGACTTTCAGTGACAGTTGGGTGCCTGTGAGAGTTGGGGGCCTCTCATCCCCATTTATGCCTCTGAAAATCTCCCCTCCCAAATACTTATGGAATGGCTATCCTTTGTGGATAAAATTCATGAACGTGGCTGGGAAAAGCAGCTATGCTTGGGGAGGGTGCACGGTGTATGGATGGGTCAGCCAGCATAAAATCTAGACACCACGTATGTCGCAGGTAGTCAAAATGAAACTGATGAGAGAGAGATAAGAGTAGGCTACGATGTCACAGGAAAAGACAATGTCCCAGCTGTGGTGATATGACCTCAGTCTATTGCCTTCTGGGGCCTGCTCCAACTCCTTGTGCCTCCCGACTCCAACTGCAGGGCCCAGCAATAGGATTTGGTGTGTGGCCCAGAACCTCTAAACAAGCAACTGATTAGTAGCATCACCCCTATAAAGGATAAAGAACCATGGCTAAAGGCATGAGAAACACTGATATGAGAGGTTTCAGAGTAGCAGCCGTGTTAGTCTGTATCCGCAAAAAGAACAGGAGTGCTTGTGGCACCTTAGAGACTAACAAATTTATTAGAGCATAAGCTTTCATGGGCTACAGCATATCTGAAGAAGTGGGCTGTAGCCCACGAAAGCTTATGCTCTAATAAATTTGTTAGTCTATAAGGTGCCACAAGTACTCCTGTTCTTTTTATTGATATGAGAGAGATTTAAAAATATATACAAAGGAATTTGTTAGAGGGGAAAAATGGATGCTTATAAATCTAAGTGTAAACTAAATCATGCCAAGCTTTTAATAGGAGAGGGGCCTGACCAAGACCCTACCAGCTATCTAGAGAGGAAAGCCCACGGAATTTAGTACGTGGCCCAGAACCCTAAATTGATGACTTATATGTGGCTCCACCCTTTGAAATGATAGAGAGTGGCAGCTAAAATGAGAACAGCTAAAATGAAAAAAAGAGAGAGAAGTTTTCAAATACTTGCTAAACTTTCTGTTAAGGAAGGGAGATTTATAAATCTAAATAAAAAGAACAGGAGTACTTGTGGCACCTTAGAGACTAACACATTTATTTGAGCATAAGCTTTCATGGGCTAAACCCCACTTCATCGGATGCATGCCATGGAAAATACGGTAGGAAGATATATACACAGAGACTATGAAACAATGGGTGTTACCATACACGCTAGAGTGATCAGTTAAGGTGAGCTATTACCAGTAGGAGAGAAAAAAATGTTTTGTAGTGGTAATCAAAATGGCCCATTTCCAGCAGTTGACAAGAAGGTGTGAGGAACAGTAGGGGGGAAGAATAAACATGGGGAAATAGTTTTACTTTGTGTAATGACCCATCCACTCCCAGTCTTTATTCAAGCCTAATTTAATGGTGTCCAATTTGCAAATTAATTCCAATTCAGCAGTCTCTCGTTGGAGTCTGTTTTTGAAGTTTTTTTGTTGTAATATTGTGACTTTTAGGTCTTTAATCAAGTGACCAGGGAGATTGAAGTGTTCTCCAACTGGTTTTTGAATGTTATAATTCTTGACGTCTGATTTGTGTTCATTTATTCTTTTATATAGAGATTGTCCGGTTTGGCCAATGTACATGGCAGAGGGGCATTGCTGGCACAT